CCCATCTAGTATACACTTAGGCCTTAAAGTAGCGATATAGGGACCCCTTTAAGGCTTAAGTATCTACTATAAAGGTACATGGAGCCTTTGGGCTTCTGGGTACCCTAAACCCTGCTGCAGGCTTTGGGTCTTTCTGTCAGGAGCTGGGCTACAGGTCTCGGGCAGGTTCAGGCCCCAGTTGAGGGGTTCAGGGTTTAGGGTTTAGGGGTTCAGGGGTTTAGGACTTTAGGGGTTTAGGGGTTTAGGGTATAGGGCTGCGGGTATAGGGTTTAGGAAATAGGGTTTAGGGTTCAGTTCAGGCTCGTCTTGGAAGGGGGTTTGGTTCTGACCCGTAGATCACAGCAACTTAGCCGGACATGTGGATCCCTTGTACCCTAAACACGGAGGCCACATGTTCACAGGCTTACCTTTGCAGATAGTCTTGCTGGGGGATACCAGACAGATGCTAGTATAACACTGGTGGCGAGTCGGAAACTTTGCAGCCTGCCCTGCATTTTCTCAGTGTCGGGCAATCACTGTACACTGTATATACACCAGACGCTGAGAGGGCAAACCGTGGAGAGGCCTGCGATAAAGTAGGGCACTACCCAGCAAGACACTCGGACATGCATATAGTCCAAGTGAAGTTGTGGTCACAACATCTGCGGCTGCCACGAGGGACCTTCCTATTTTCAGTCCTGAATAGACAAAACTATGCCCGGAAACCCTGTTCTACTCATTGAGGCCCCTGTACTCAACCCCATTGAAACCAGTATTATTCCATGTTATGCAGATGCAGAGTCCGCTAGAGGTCTCACTGCGAGGAGGTCTTTGAAATGTCAACTCGGATCCAGCCGTTGTTCTGGGTCTTCACCATCTTGAACAGCCCATCCGGATCATGGAGCCTTCGTTTACGGTTTAGGTTGAATTGAATTGGGGCATGAGTGACAGACAGCAAAGTTCCGACGCCTGACGGATTGACACTCTCCGGACTTGGTTCGGTTTTCAACCCCGCTTTATCGAGCCCGGAATGTCCCGCAAGGCCCAAGATGCGACGGGTTCCAACTAGACTCAGAACAGGCAGCATATTCCCCATTCCCAAAGACGCTGCGGCGGCATCAGTTTGGGGTTCATGGTTTTGCTTTACCTATAGGCTCATACCCTACCCCTTATTGCAGGTACCTACTTTTGTATATAGGAGATCCTAACCATATAACTAGGTACCCTAAAGGATATGACCCTCTAGGTAGGGTCTGCCTGATACAAGATCACACAATAAGGAGGTCTACTCTATTTCCCATGCTGGACCCACAAACCACGCACAATCAGCTTAAAACACCCCCCCCCCCAAGACAACAAAAATCACTTCCAGCTCAAAAGCCCAGGAGCATCTTCTTTCGACCCTTCCAGCCCCGCTTGGGGCCCTTACAGGATTTCGGCCCCCTCTCCTCGGCTGGAGAGACTCGGGCTCAGGGTATGTAGGAACCTGATTAAAACACCTTGGGCCTTTATTAGGGTTCCTTACATATGAATCCTACTATTTTGAGGTTATAGGCCCAGGGTTTCTAAATCAGGTTCCTACATTCGGGCTGCCAGGGCTCACGGCTGATACGGCTTGCAGGGTTTAGGGCTTCTGGGGCTCGGAGAGTTGAATTAACGGTTAACCCTTTTTGGTTATACAGGGATCATATAGGGACTCTACTACCCAAAAAAGGTCAAAGGTTACCTACTCTACTGCTAGCGAGGGCTCCAGGGGGTAAAGGGCCGAGGAGTTGGAGGGTTCATTTGTTTGATCGCTGCTTACGCTTTCTGGGGTTTAGGGCTTAGTGTATTGCGGGTCTAACAGCTTGGGATAAAAGCCAGAGGGACAGTGGGGGCATTAGACGGATGTTCTCGCGGGCCCAGAAATACTACCTCAGCCTGTCTAGGGATTGTATGGTGAGCCCGAACCGTATGTAGCCTTCTGATACATGATCAGTGGACAATGCAAAACTGCACGCGTAAACTCCATACCCAAGACAGTCTTAACAACCTGATCCCCATCCAAGCCTACACAACAGATGCTGCGACAGCCACAAAAAGCCCCAGTTCCATGCAACAAAATGCAAACCGAAACACCTGAGAAAACATTAGAGCCCGGACTAGAGACACCGAAGCCAGCCCCAGGGTTCGGGGTGTAGCGCGGATTAGGTTTGGAGATCCCTAACACAAAAGAAACACAACACAAAATGAGCAAACATCAATCAAATACAGTCCGTCTAAGTGCCCTGCGTATTGAGCTGTGAGTTTGTGTGGTTACTTAAAATCTGGCGACCTGAAGCAACTGTGGACAAGCTCGCTGACAGACAGACCCTGCCGTCTACACCGTGACCCCGAACTGCTGAGAAAGCGTCCCAGGGCGCTGTGAACTCCATGGCATGCCAGGTAGGAGCCCGCTTGCCTCCAAAAACCAGAATGTCTATCACAAATAAGCAAATGTATCAAAAAGCGTCCCTTCTCAAGCAACTGACTTTTATTGTTAGTTCAACGAATTTCAGGACATACCAAAACACAGATCCCTGATCAAAACTCCGCTAATCATGCAATTTCTGGAAGGGTCCTCGACGAAAGGCGTTGGGAGTCAGTACAGACGTCCTGATAACCCCTCTTGGCGAGGAAGTATCAGGGGTGTGCTACTCTGCCGTCCTCACAACAAGGATCCTACTATTTGGTGTCTATCTTGGGGTCCTACACCCTGAACCCGACTGCCTTAACCTGTAGTTCCCCGTTCAAATTTTGTTCGCAGTGGCCTGACGGCAAAACTCGAGTCCAAATCGTATCGCGGCAGGCTGAGCCGGACGTCTCAGCGAAAGTAGCTGGCTGATCCATGGCGATGTGCAGTTGGCTTCAACAGCCGTGCTCACCAGTGGCTTCTCCTTTGGGGTCCAGGCTGAGCGTTCCAGCTTGAGCCCAGTGCCTTTCTTTGCAAAGAAACTCACAGTTCAAACATTTCCACATGCAAGGAAGCATGCATGCATTCCTACACCATGGATAGGTCACTGTATATCAGTACCTAGGCTAAACCCGAAACGATTGAGAGCTGCCAGGTTTTCGATTGCAGAAGTTTTAGGGCTTAGCTTACACAGATTGCCTAAGACCAGAAGAACTTGTCCCAGACCACACATGAAACCTAAAGCTTCGACCCACAACCGCCGGTTCATGTCCCCATAACGCTGCACGACTCAGACGCTGCATTAGTAGATCCGAAAGCATCTGTTTTGGCCGATCCACCGTAAACTGTATGTAACCCTTCTGTGCAGTTCAAGGGGATGAAGGAGGTTTGGTGGTCAATTGCATGGATGCCCTTTTGGTTTAGGGGGGTTACGGTTCATAGTGTTTTTTTCGGATCTATGGCTTGTTTCACAATGGGTTTACGAGCTATGGTTGAGGGGTTGGGGGCTTGGTGTTCAACCCTAAACCCTCAACCCCTAGACCCGAAACCCGCAAACCCCTAAACCCCTATAAACCCTGAACCCTGAACCCCTAAACCCTAAACCCCTAAACCCATAAACCCTAAACCCCTAAACTCCACACCGCTTCAGAACTGCACGCCGATGCTGGGAACCGGGCTGCCCTGATCCAGCGGGAGCAGGCACACCTGCTTGGAGGATCATGGGACTTAGTAAGTGAGGTTATAAGTTATAAGTACCTTCACTGGGGTTATAAGTAGTTACAAGTAGAGTTACCCTAACTATAGGCCTAGTTACTGAGTCCCGTGATCCTTTAAGTGCCGCAGCTCGATGCACCGGCTGGAGCTTGAGCACTCTGAGTTTAGGGCTCATATAACGGTTCCTTTTAAAGGAATCTTTAAGGGTTCCTTTAAAGGGATCTTTAAGGGTTCCGCTAAAGGGATCTTTAAGGTATCTATAAAGGGTTTATCGAGAAAGCTACCTATAGTCTCAATTGTAGTTCCCTCTTTTTGGTTAACCCGTTTTATGGTTAGGATCCTATGATACAGTTTTTGGTTAACCAGACAGAGGGACTACAGTGGAGACTCTATAATAGGGTTTAAGTTTTACCACATCCCTGAATCCATCGTGGCAGCAGTTGCAGAAAACTTTTCTGGGTTCGAGACTGTAGAGCAAGGTCTGGCAGGACGGATAGGCTTGCATTAGACCGTTAGCTACTACCGTAATGCGTAGACTTTGAAGGTGATCAGGGTCGAGCTGAAATCCATACTCTACCCAGACGCCCCAAAGTAGTTCCTTTTTGGGATTACCTTATTATAGGGTTCTATATATGAACCCCAAAAAGGAACTACGAACTGAACAGGTCTACTACATACATAATTACAGTTACAGGGGTTTCGCGGATTATCATACTAATCGCTTCCCCCTAGCATTCAACCCCCCCTAATATAAAACTCCCGGCCCCCGGAATTTCGCGGTTTCGGGCCCCACATTCAATTTAAAAGGGCCAACATTATAGGGGGGGGTGGCAGATTTGTATGTGTTTTGATTGAACGAAGACTACAGTAGTACTAAAGACAGCAGAGCTTTAGGGTTTAAGGGTTTAGGGCTCAGGGCTAAGTTTAGGGCTCAGGGCTTTATAGAGCCAAAGGTTACAGCAGTACTAAGGACACCAGAGCTTTAGAGTTTAAGGGTTTAGGGCTCAGGGCTAAAGCTTTAGGGCTCAGGGCTTTAGGGCTTAAAGTTTCGGGCTCAGGCCTCTAGGGTTTGGGGCTCGAGGTTTAAGGCTTAGGGCTTTAGTAGGGCCTCAGGGCTCCAGGCTTAGGATAGCTAGCAGCTGGGAGTCCGGGTACGTGGATGCACCGAAACCCCCCCTAATATTAAAACTAGGTAACGGCGCCCCTAGGGTGCCGAGACTGCTATTCTTAACTTTTAGTGGGTTTCCGACTGCATCTTATGGGTTGGGGGGGGGGGGGGGGGGGGGGGGGGGGGGGGGGCTGGGAACGTTCTCTTGGACCGCATCGCTGCCACATCCCGGCTGCCAGTTTTGCTTCTAGCACATCTGCCTCAACCATGGCGGCCTTCGAGAGCATGCGCTCTCTCCTATGTGCTCTTTTGGCCATGGTCATCGTTCTTCGCCATCATGGAGCAGTGCTGCCGGAGCTGGGTGGCTTTGCCTCGCTCCACCTGCAGGACTTGGAGGACACGTGGGAGGCCTGTTGCCAGAACATTCCTTAACCCGTAGACCCTGTCGCTCCGAATCCCGTCATGGAGGTTCTTGCGCTGCCACTCGCGCATGGCTCGGCAGAAGTTGCAGCGTTCTGGGGCATCTTCCACGAATCCCGCCGCAGTCGCAAAGGTGCACTGCCGTGGCTTTTGTTGGCACGGCATGCCACATGCGTTGCCCTGCTGTACGTCAACCTGGCTCGGAGCGGGTCTCTGTCTCAAGCAACTGTGCAGCGTTCGTGGTGGTATGCCATGGCTCTTTCTCGCCGATGGGGGCCCGTGGCTTCTTGGGGCATCACAGCGCCTCCTACACTTGAGGACTGGCAGCAATGGCTGGATGAGGTTGACCAGCTGGCTCCGAATCCTGAACTCTTGACGTCTGAGGCAGTCACAGGAGCCCCGCTGGACATTTTCCATGCAGATCTCGACTTGTCGGAGCTGGGTGTTGAGGACCAGACTCCGCCGCCCAGCCCAGCGGCTTCTTCTGTTTCTGTCGCGACCTGCGTGAGCCAAGAGCCGGATGCAAGTTCGGCTGTGGCTGCGGACCTTGCGATTCCTGCTCGGCTGGAAGAAGTTTCAGCTGCCGAGGATTTATTTCAGACTCCTCGACGGCATCCTCGCAAGCGCGACTGGGACAGCCCGTCTGGTTCAGAGCTGCAGTGTTTCCGTCGGCACGCGGCGCTTGCCGCTGTTCCAAGAAGTTGAACACTTTTCTTTCGTCAAAGTTCTTGACTCTAGTTCAAGGTCGCCCGTGAAGTGGCTTAGGCAATACCATAGTTTCGGGTTAAGGCCAACCTAGTTTATTCAGGCAGTTTAAGTTATGTCATGTCAGGGCGAGAGCGTGGAGCCTGTGCTTCCCGATGACTCTCCATGGTCGAAAAGATATAAAGCCTGGTATTTCCGCAACGAAACTCCTGCGGCTTCCGAGGACCGGCATACTGCCTAATTTTTTCAAGCCCGAACTGTTTCTTATACTTAACTTTTCTCTTGGCAGCCTCCCGGCAGGCGCTGCAAGAAGATGACATGTCTGACGTCGGCCCAAGAGCCGTTCAGAGCCAGGCCGGCCTGCCTAAGAAACTTCGGCGGAGCGAAGGCAGAAACCATAGAACTGTAATCCTTAGAACTGTAATCCTCCCCCAATAGTTCCGAAATCTTAATGCGACGGCTCATTGGAAAATTCTAGACCCTCCGACCCTAAAAACCCTTCTGACCCTACAAACCCTAACGCCAGAGCCCTGAAATTTGACCTAAAGCCTTCACACTCAGCCCGTAACCCTGGACCTTTTGGCCTTCATCTACTCCTTGACCTCAAACAGTCATTTCTGAACCCAAAGTCCCAAACCACGGATCGCTATCGCAGCACCCCGGTAACAGGAGCATGTCATGTCGGACGTGGAATCCATCCACAGTTTTGCGGAGGACGGTGGTTGGGTTTTGTGTGAGAAACCTGTGAGAAGCTTCTGAGAAACCGGTGAGAAACCTGTGAGAAGGCTGTGAGAAACCTGTGAGAAGGCTTTGAGAAAGCTATGAGAAACCTGTGAGAAACTTGTGAGAAGGCTTTGAGAAAGCTATGAGAAACCTGTGAGAAACTTGTGAGAAACCAGTGAGAAGCCTGTGAGAAGGCTGTGAGAAACTTGCGAGAAACCTGTGAGAAGGCTTTGAGAAAGCTGTGAGCGACCTGTGAGAAACCTGTGAGAAACCTGCGAGAAGGCTTTGAGCAAGCTGTGAGAAACCTGTGAGAAGGCTGTGAGAAACCTCTGAGAAACTTGTGAGAAGCCTGTGAGAAACCTGTGAGACGGCTGTGAGAAACCTGTGAGAAGGCTTTGAGAAAGCTGTGAGCGACCCGTAAGAAACCTGTGAGAAACCTGTGAGCGGGCTGTGAGAAACCTGTGAGAAAGCTGTGAAAAACGCGCGAGCGACCTCTGAGCGGGCTCTGACAAACACCTGACAAAGCTGTGAGAAACTTCTGAGAAACGTGGGAGAAACTTCTGAGAGACCTAACCTGCTGCTGCTGCTCCTGTTGCTGCTGCTGCCGGAAGGACTCGCCGGGACCGCGGGGTTCAGCAGCCGCTAGTGGCGGCGTTGGGCAGGACGCCGCAGTGACGGCTTACGTGTCTCCTCGGTCAACTCGTCTTTTCGCTCAAGCTGCACAAGGAAGCTTGAAGCCAACTAAATGGGGTCGTTGCCCGAAGTGTTTGTTTCCTTTAAGGGTTCATGTTTTCCAGTCTGGAGCCCGGCAGGGACAGATTTCTTTACAATGCTCGCAATGGTTTCGCTTGTCTGCTCCCAACCGAAGAGACTGTTGGGGCTCCGTGGCTTTTCCGAAGGACAAGTTTGCCCAACTGACTGCTTCAGAGAAGCAGCTCTGCGACAACATTCGTACCAGACTTTGGTTGCACGCTGCTTGAAGGGAAATGTCCAGTGCAGTTGGCATTCATTTGTTGTTTTCTCTTCTGCTGCTTGAAGGGAAATGTCCAGTGCAGTCGGCATTCATTTCTTGTTCTCTCTTCTGTCATGCCTTATGATCCTGAGCTTTGCAAGCAGTGTGTTCTCCATTCAACTTTGGCTTCCAGGTCCCTATAGAGATAGGCCAACATGGTCTGCAAAGTCTGCGGACGAAAAGGGCACAACGTCCGTGGATGTGCTCTTCCAGGAGCACGACTCCTGCTTGATGCACAGGCAGAGCTCGACAAGCTCAACCACGCCGCTCGCAGTCCACAGCAAGGCCGCAAACCGCCACGCTTAGGAACTTGCTTCTATGGCAAGCGAAAGCTCGATGCTCGCCGAGCCTACAGTGGACCACATCAGGCGAAAGTCGTGCGGGAGAAGGACAAGTTGCGACGCCAGAAGCAAGCTCCGCTTCCCGTCTGCAAGGACACGCAGCTGGAGGCCGTGCGTGAGCTTCAAGGGCTTGGCTTCTTTCGAAAGCTTCCCAAGCGATGCTTGAAGTGTCGTGGTCTTCTGGGAGAGTTGCAAGCCGGAAAGAAGAAGCACGGGCAGGCAATCTTCTCCTTCTTCAAAAGTTTTAAGGAGGTTCCCTAAACCCTAAACCTAGGTCTAAGCCTAAAACTTAAAACCCAAGTCATCGACCCGAAAACTTCACACCGCAGGTGATGGTGCGTTGCAAAAACGAGAACTGCCGCAAGGTCATGAATGTCATGAGCTTTGCGACATGGCTGCCGCGCCAGGCCGAAAACTTTTGCTTCTTCTCCTACTTCTGCACTTCTAGCGGTACAACCGTTTAGATTTGGCATCCCCGATACAACCACAATCCTCCCAGTTGGCAGGCACGCATTGGCCGACTTTGCACTCCTTTCCAGCTCTTGACCCTATTGAGAGCTTGGACTGCAAATGGTCTTCGCAAAGCTCCTTCGGCATATCAGCTTGGACGTTCAGCTGGTCTTTCCTACAAGCCATGCAAACGTGTGATTGACACGCTGCGTGCACTGGAGGCAAGCCTTACACCCCAGCCCAAATCATCATAAATGGTTTCTCATTAAGAGGAAATATAAGAATCCTTGTGATAACTATTGCCGTTTCATGTTGAAAGCCATCCATGTTTCGATAACAGTGTCACATCTGCATCGGATCATCTTCGTCAGATTTGCCCATCGCAGTGTCAAGTCTGCATCGGATCAACTTCGTCAGATTTGCCCATCGCAGTTAACTGCATCGGATCAACTTCGTCAGATTTGCCCATCGCAGTTAACTGCATCGGATCAACTTCGTCAGATTTGCCCATCGCAGTTAACTGCATCGGATCAACTTCGTCAGATTTGCCCATCCCAGTTAACTGCATCGGATCAACTTCGTCAGATTTGCTCATCCCAGTTAACTGCATCGGATCAACTTCGTCAGATTTGCTCATCGCAGTGTCAAGTCTGCATCGGATCATCTTCGTCAGATTTGCCCATCGCAGTGTCAAGTCTGCATCGGATCAACTTCGTCAGATTTGCCCATCGCAGTTAACTGCATCGGATCAACTTCGTCAGACTTCACGCATCATCGACTGTTGCTTGTATCATATCATGTCATATTATGTCATCTCATCTCTCACCATCTCATACCATTTCATACAAAACATCATCTCGTATCATTTCATGCCCTTCAAGTCGTTTACTCTCATGCTACTTGTTAAAAGCTGTAAGATGAGATCTTACAATGATAACCGTGATGATGTTAATGTTGACCTTGACTTGGAAAGATCTCCATAATGATGCCGACGATGAAACCACGCAGGCCAAAGAAGGCTTGCGATGCAGTGCTGCCACGCGGCCCGGCGGAGTTTGCGAAGTGGATGGCACATCGCTGAGAACTCTGCGCGTGTACCCCAGCAGCGTGCGCTTCCAGCACCTGATCCGTGAGTGGCGTGAGAAGAACCCAGCAGTGCCCAGGCCTGTGTACTGGCTGTTGCACGTACGCTTGCTAGGAGTTGTGCAGCGGTCGGACTCGCGCAAACTGTGCGTGGCCCTTGCTGAGCAAAAGTTGGTGAAGCCAAAGGCTGTGCCACCGACAGAATCTAAGAGGGAGATTCTGTCCTCGGGCTTGCTCAAACGAGTGAAGCCAGGAAGCAGTCTGATGGCAGACGGAGCTGCGGCATGGAGTGCTGCTGCTCGCACATTGTCCGCGAAGCGGTTCACCGTGCATCATGTGAAGCACTCACGGGCCCAGTTCGTGAAACGTGTGCCTGCGTGCCAACGTACCCTAGGGACTCAGACCTTAGACAGAGTTTGGGATGTGCTGAAGCGTTACATTCCCAAGGAGATCTCTTCCAGGAAGATCAAGCATGGCCGTTTTGATCTTTTAGACTACGTTTACTCCTGTCTCTGGAGAAGACAGGCAAAGCAAATGCCGCTGCTGCAAGAGCTCGGCAAACTTTGCCGTGACAGCTGAGTCCTGTCTCAGAAGAGGACAGGTGCAGCTGCCGCAGTTCCTAAACGCTCGGCAGACTTTGCTTTCACAGCCGACTGCTTCTGGAAGAAACGATTTCTGCCATCAGCATGCTGACACCGTTCTACCTACCCCATCCCATGCTCAATATAGCTGAAATCCCAAACTTAAGAATAAAATAAACACACAACGCAACATATCAATAATCCCCAACATAGGTCATGCACTTTCAGGGAATATGTAGATCCTGCTGGTGGTGCTCTTCTTCACAGTGAAGACGTTGCCTGTCCTGGTGGTGTTGCTGCTGCCGCTGCTTCGTCTGCATGTGCTCGTCCGGTGTCGTTAACAGAATCTGTATTCGTCTGTCTCCAAAACAAACTTTTTCCTGAACCGCTCCAAAAAATGTGTCTGAACGTCTGGGAAAATAGCAATAATCGTAAACAAAAACACACAGTCTCGAGGATTCTAACACTCTTCATCTCAGCTTTGTAAAACGTTCGTGCATTTTACCACACGTTTAAGCACGTTCCCAAAAAAACCTCTTTTCGCAACTCCCACAAAACACACGGCGCCCTACAGAAGCCGCTACCTAAAACTAAACCTCCGAAATCCAGTTTTTATATTAGCCAGGGGGGGGCCTTTAATATTAGGGGGAAACGATTGCAGGTGCAGTAAGGAACCCCAAAGAAAATACGGCAGAATACAGAGAAATTGTTCAGGCTTTTGTATTTCATTCAAAGTCTGGGTTCAGGCATGTGCCGGGGGCTCCAGGCATGTCAAGCGCTCAGGGCAAGGTTTAGAGTTTTTACTTTAGGGTTTGGGGTAGACGGTACAGTTTGGCGTTTAGGGTTTGGGAGTTTAGGGGAACTGCAGGGTTCAGACTGCGATGTAGGCCTTCCGTCTTAAGAGAAATTCTGCGCAAGCCAGGTATGTAATTGCTAAGATGGGACGGCGTCTCAAGCATCAGCTGCCAGGTCTGTATAACCTAATTCCTAGGTCGTCTACCACTCACCCTCCAATTGGCTGAGTACGCGGTCGTTTGGCAGTTGTTTTGTTGCAGCCCTACAATCATCGGAAAAGTGCACGGTTTTTGGTCTGGATATGAAGCAGCTTAGTTCCCTGATCTACAACGGACCCAAATAATTAAACATGCAAGACTTGTTGTTTGTCTGGTTCGTGAAACAGGAGCTGTTGCAAATAGCTACGAGTATTATGAAGAGCACGGCTACGTGACCGCAACCGGTATTTCAATCAGCGTTTCTCCGTAGCACTTAGATACGGAAAGGAATCTTAAATCCACATGCAGAAGGTTGCGAAGGGCTCCAAGTAGGGTGCAAAGGGCTTAGCATGCGGTTCAGGGTAAAGGGTATAGGGTTCAGGATTTAGGTTATGGATCCCAGAAACCCTGAACAGTTAGACTGTCGAGTCTAAGTTCTGCTAGCTAGTACTGGGTTAGGGCAAGCAGGTAATTAGGAATTGCAGTAGGCCTTTGTACAAGGTTTAAGATCTGGTGTTACGAGAGAGGTCGGCTGAGGCAAACCGATCCCAAGATCGGAAAAATTGGGCTCAACGACGAGGCACATGGAAAGAGCGAAGATCGTCAGGACCTTGAGTGAACTGGAATCCCCAAACTCCAAGGAAGCCCTCAGTCGTGAAAGGGGGTCACAGAATCCAAACATCTCCGAAACATAAACCACCACAACCAAATTACCTACTTATGAGGGAGTAGACTCTGCGGATCAGGGTTGGCCAGCCGGCAATAGAATTCAACTTGCAACATCTGGGGGACTTTGCTTCTGAACCCCTCAACAAATCCTAACCCTCCGCCCCTTACGAATGACAAGCAACAACCCTGGAAGCCCTAATCAGCTGCCCTACTAGCTCGAACAGTTTTTGTTTGTTGTTGCGAGTTTTTCTTTTGTTAGTGGAGGGGGGGGTGGTGCATTTTGTACAGTCGTGAAGGAACGCCCTGGTGAATATTCAAGCCTCTGTACCCCTAAAGCCTTGTGGCACGCCTATATGGCCTGTATTTGGGGTTGAAACATGACACCGTATCAAGATCATGAATGCCGTTATCTGAAATGATTCTTGCCGCTTTTTTACGAAAGCTGCGTGCTTTTCCACCGGTTTAATTTATTCTTACTTACTTGCCGTTTCAACCTAGAAGCCATTCGAAACCGAACAGGGACATGCCAAGACTAAGTCTAAAGGCCCGGGGCTGATACTGGAACACATACACTAAGGTAACTTACTGAAAATGCCACGAAGTGGTGCAGGCTGTGCGATGAGATGTCAAAGGATCTCGAGAGAATTGCAGTCTCCTCATCAAAGCTCCGTCGGACGCTCAGCTCTACACCTTGAACCTTAAACTCTCGTAACCCTTGAACCCACCTGCAGTTTCCATTGCAGTGCCTTTTTGGGATCAACCAATTTTATATTTAGGATCCCATAAGGTGCCCCCTAAAAGGAATTTCAATGGAGACTGTAGGCAAAGCCCCCGAAAGCCCTGAGCTCTTTTCACAGGGACCCTGATGGGGGGGTAGGGGGCCCCATAATACGGACTTCATAAGGCCTATTTTAAGGAAGTATAATCCCCGGACCCCCCTCCCCTACCCTAAACCCTAAACCTTAAACCCTAAACCTTAAACCCTATAAACCCTAAGGGTCACTAAGCTCTTTGCAACAACAACTCCGGGGCAGTCCTGAGGCTCCTGCTGCATAGGCAAAAACAGCCCAAGGAATACCCAGCTCCTGAGATCATAGAACAGTGGTAGGTTGTATGTTTTTGGGGTTTGTGATCATAGAACAACGTTCGGTTCTATGTTTTCGGGATTTAAGATCAGGGTTTAGGGTCATTTATGGTAGGGGTTTGTGGTTTCTTTCGGGGTTTAGGATTGAAAGTGCAGGGTTTCGAGCTGTTTGTTTGCTGGGGGGCAGAATGTCTGTTTGGACGGGGCCGGTTGAAGGTGCAGAATTGTGTTCAAGAGTCGAAGGTTTGGGGTTTTGGCTCGTCAGGGTTTCGGGTTAATTTTGGCAACTGCCCAAGCGGTGAGGAGAACAGGAAGGCTCAAGAAGGCTGAGCCAGCAATGAATCCTGCGAAGCCCGTTTAGGTAGACAGTGTGCCAACGAGAGAATGTGAACAACAACAACAACAACCCAAGGTGAAACGGATGCTCTGGGAGATCTTCATCCCGGTTCACAGTGTCATGCTTGAGCGCATTCTTGCTGTTCTCATGCAAATGCCGTCCAGCAAGGCAACAGCATCCAGCGTTGCCAAGTCTTCGCGCCCCCGTGCAGTAATTAGCCTTTCTCTGACGACTTCAAGGTCAGGATCATGAACAGGTTGCGGTTGCTGCACATATGCCCAGAAAGTCCATGCGACATCAGCACCAAGCTTCACAGATCTGCCAAACTCTGTTCCACTCAGTTCTGCTGCTATGCATCACCATCCCCTAAACCCTAAACCCTAATCATCCGAGCCATCCTGAAGTTCATCATCATCAGAACAGGAACGGCATTACCACCGTCATTGTGGCAGCAGTATGAGCAGCCTGGATGCCGAAAGCAACGAGCGGACTTGTAAGTGATTGTGGTATGTCACCTCCCCTAAACAAAAAAAACTGAAAGTTCAAAGCCACCTTGGAATTGCTCAAAGAAAGGACCCGAATATGACCCCAAGCAGTCGGATCCATATGACCAGGCCCCCTAGCAGACCGTCTTTTGGAGGCCTGAGTACAGTAATTACAACACGCTTTTGGAGGCATGTTATAGTAAGGATTGAACAAGAAACTTTAAGAAACAGCAAGCAACTTATTCCGACGAAAGCCCCTTGCAGTTGCATCCATGGGTCGAAGAAGCGCTTCTGAAGCGGATAGGGTGGCGTTCGCAAAAGCCACCAGCAGAAGAAGTTCCAAGCTAAGTAGCCTGGAGGCTCGTAAACCGTAATCTGTTGGGCGGTTCAGGGTTTAGGGTTTAGGAGTTTTGGGGTTTAGGGTCTAGGGGTTTAAGGTAATCTATCGGGGCCTTAATGAGGAGTCCCTTTCAAGCTAAGGGTCGCTCTGCAAGGTTCTATCAGGCTTTTCGGATGTCAGGGTTAGGATGATCTGGGTTCGAGGGTTTACCTGAAACCTTAAACCTTAAACCCTAAACCTTAAACCCTGTTTTAGGGTTTGGAACTTGGGGTCTCAGGTTCCTACCGGTTCATACCCGGGCCATTGATTGAAGCTCTTGGTCATGGCTTTCTTGCTTTCCATACAAAACGCGAAGAATTGCAGAGGCCTGCCGAGGTTTGGGGTGCGGTCTACAACCCAAAGGCTCCATGTGCCTTTATAGTAGGTACCTAAGCCTTAAAGGGGTTCCTACATAGGTACTTTAAGGCTTAAGTATATACTAGATGGGTACATGGAGCCTTAGGGCAATAATAATCAAAGACGTGGGAGCACCATGATCGACTTTTCAGGCGCCGAGGTTAGCTGGGGTCGAGGCTGTGAAGGTTTGGAATCAGAATAGGGGTTGATGAGTCTGCTGCCCTACTGCGTGGTCAAACAACTAAACCCTGAGCATCCTAAACCCAACCACCACCGCCACCACCGCCACTTCCGCCACCGCCGCCACCGCCGCCACCGCCGCCACCGCCACCACCACCACCACCACCCCCGCCGCCGCCGCCGCCACCACCACCACCACCACCACCACCACCACCACCACCACCACCACCACCACCACCACCACCACCACCACCACCACCACCACCACCCACCACCACCACCACCACCACCACCACCACCACCACCACCACCACCACCACCACCACCACCACCTGTTTGTACAAACTGCTTCTTCTCGTTCAGGCTCCTATGCTCAGTTCTTAGCTCTTAGTGGTGCCAGGTAGCTGTACGCAAAGCCGACAGTGGCATTGATCTCCAGGCTAGACTTGTTTAACCTTCGCAGTCGTCTTCTGTGGGGGTGGTGTGGCGCTCTAGGGTTTTCTGAATCACAAAATACCCTAACCCAAAAACCCGTAACCCTAAACCTACGCTAAACTCTAAACCCCTAGAGATCCCGTCCCATAAAAGCTCCAAACCATGACACCCCATACCCTATATGGGAGTTTCCGAAAATAGGGGACCCTAATATAGCACCCTGAATAGTAGGATCCTGATTATAAGAGCCCCAAAATAAGGTATCCTTAATTTGGGGAAACTCCCCTATGGCCCCTGAAGGCCCAAACCGAACTGAGCTAGTAGTTTCTCGGGCCTGAAAGATGGTGTATCATCTTGGCAGGGTCCCAGCAACTAACATACATACATACATATATATATATATATATATATATATATATAATTGTGAATACTATCTGGTTATACATTATTTCATACATCTCATAGTGAATATGTATGTGTATACATGTATGCGGATACGTACATATGTCTTTTGGTTGTTTGTGTACAATCTATTAATTAGCTTTGGGTGCTTACCTGTGTACACTTATACCGGAAAACGAAAACTGAATCCGTGCAAAATACTAGTCTGGCGTTTTAAGCCTCCACCCGACTCTCCCCCCATCTTAGGACAGATGATCTATGGCTTCTGGAGATCACCGGGCACTCAGCAGAAGGGAACGAAGTTCGACCAGTTCTGTTAACAGAAAACCAGGGGTTAGTCTCAGGACCCACCAACCACCCTCTAAAATACCTGAAATACCCACTAGTAAGGACCAGAAGGGCTCTATTAAAGGGTACTGGGGGGCTCCTGGGGGGTCCTGGGGGGCTTAGGACTTTAGGGCTTTCGGCTTCAGTCTGTTGGGCTTTTGAGACTTTAGGGCTTTAGGCTTTAGGGTACCAGGCTATGTTCACTTCTTTGGGTTGGGGCTTCAGGCTTTTTTTAGTTTGGCTTGGGCTTTGAGCTTTTCGGAAGCAGGGCTTTAGGGCTCAAGTTTACGGGGACTTCAGAGAATACGGGATTCCCATCATGGGAGAGTTCACACAAACGTTGCGAGCAAGCAGCGGGTGGTCACCCAGGGCCATATCCACGACCTGAAATTGCGTTTCTTCTGACGGCCGGATGAAATCACTGGGCATCCATGTCCTTATCCGGACATCCGAACCAAGGCGTGCATCTAGCCTATAGCAATTTGGGGAACAAAGGGCTATGACGACAGGTCTGTTAAATCTGCAGCGAAGCTGCCACAAGGCTTACAGCGTTTGAACTGCAGGTTTGCGGACTGGGCGGAACACGTGCTGTAACGCAGCTGATGCCGATACTGTGTAGCTGCTGTAAGCCACGAATCCCACTTCACGTTTTCTGGTTTGTTGATCCATTCAGTCACTTCAAAGCTACGTTTCAGCAGCTGCTTCTTCTCGCCAAGTGCTGAAGATCTACAGTTGCGCTTAGGATTTTGGAACAAGCAGGGTGGGGTAGGGGCGTAGTCTTCAGGGGATGTTGCGCAGCCGCCCTAGTCGTACAGAAGTAGCAAATTGCGCCTCCGTAGGCTGGAAGACAGGACGGGCAGCCTCAAAAATGCCGCAAACCCAACATCGAGTTCCAAACCCTAAACCTTACACGTGAAATCTCTAAAGGTCCAACATACTATTGCAAGCCCCGCAACTCGAACCGGCACTTAACCTCTAGACCCCAAATCCCAGACCCAAACCACCCCAAGCCCTAAAGCCCCAAACCCGAACCTCTAATCCTAACTCTAAATCCTCAGCCAGCCCGGAGCCCGCAGGCTTTTATCAAGTAATGCTTTTCCTGAGCCTTTCTTAGCGTGTAGGGTTTATCGTTTTTGTTCCGGTGCAACGTTTCTCTTGTAGCAACACCAACTTAGTCGAATCATCTCGGCTGCTATACTAAACCCCGAAAACCCTAAACCCTAACTTCTAGACACGGAACCCCAAACCCGGCTTCCCGGAAACCCTGAAACGTAAATCCTATACCGTGCACTTACAGGCTGGGCCAAACACCCTAAGGGTCCATGTACCCCTATGGTATGTACTTTGGCCGAGGCCCCAAAGTACGTATATAGGGGCTACTTTGAGGCTAGGGTTTAGGGTTAAGGGTCTAGGGCCAATGTATACATACTATATAAGTGTTAGCTTTAGAACAGGTGTGTGAAGTTGTTGGACTTCGTCAAGTGTCGGATACCGGGTGCCTGTGCACAAAAACCCCGACGACAAGCCGGTAACCCGAAAACGTCAGGAAATGTCAAACTTCGTCCTACCTGATAAAGCCTGTTAAAACTGCAAACCTGTCAGTCTCCGAACCCTAAACCCTCAAACCTGAACTCCAAACCCTAAATCTCAAACCCGCAAGACTGACCCCCGAGCTCAGAGCCAAGAGAAGTGGGCACAGCGTGTGGATATACTGCATGAAAAGCCTCACTGACGTTCTCTATATACCGTATACAGGAAAGCATCGCATTCACGTTGATTAATGCTATGTTATGACAACTTTAACTATCATAACCCCAAGCCCTAAACCCTGCACTATAGTAGCTAGAGTTGCCATACCAAAGAAACCCTGCATAGGGTGAGGAATGACACGGGCCCCGTGGCTGAAGAGATGCTGCGGATCCCGACAGTAAAGGATACAGGATATGAGTCGTTCTCTAAGTTAGGGTCCGTTTAGGGTCCTTTTTCATTCGAACCATGAGAACAGCAAATAATGACACCAACAATAACACCAGCAATAATGATGCTAGCAAAATTATTGCTACAAAAGAAGCAGTCATGACAGCAAGTTGACAACAAGTCATTCATCACCCCAACACACCTCCAGCGACTGCACTTAAGATTGCTGACCACCACTCTCACCCCTCCCCACCCCGCCCTACAGTAAACCCCATAAACTTGGAAACCGGATTAAGGCCAAATAGTGCTGGGATTCCCTATGCATTGCTATGGTTTTTTTTTTTTTAGGCTCCTACTGTACCCCACCAGCCCCAAAACCAAACCCGTAACCTGATGACCTGAACCCAGAAAGGCAAGCCGCATCTCGAAGTCTCATGGTCGTCTAACCTTTCCCGAAGGGTCCATGTACCCAAATGGTATATACTTTGGCCTTACAGTATTACATTCGAGCCAAAGTATGTACCATTTGGGTACGTGCTGAGGGCTTAGCCTTTACCCGCTGAGCCACAAAAACCCTGCGTTTTCACGCCTCCTTAGTATGGTTTCCTTACTTGGTCCTTAGACAACTAGGCGTTTTGATCTTGGCTTGCAGGTGAAGCCCAAAGCAAACCGAGACTGAGGGGTTGAGGTAGCGTTTAGGGGTTTAGGGTTTAGAGGTTTAGTTAGGGTTAGGGGATAGGGAACTCGAAGGACAAGTAAGACTAAGTACTTAGGTATCTTTGAGTGACTGCAAGGGGATATCCTCACTGTATTCTCGGTTTTTACTATTGTTCTTGACTATTGACTGCCCTGGGCTACCTTGAGAAGCCGCTCAAGCCCTAAACCCTAAACCCTGAACCCTAAACCCTAAACCCTGAACCCTAAACCCTAAACCCTGAACCCTAAACCCTAAACCCTGAACCCTAAACCCTCAACCCTAAACCCTACACCTTACACAAAACACCCTGAGGACTCTGGCCTGAAGGGAGTTTGCCAACTGGCCCGGGGGTCGGGATCTGATGGTCCAAACATCGCCTGGCGGCTGCTGTCCCTAAGGGTTCCTTGAGGGATGTTTAGGGTTTAATGTTTAGGGGTTTAGGGTCCTAAAGGTTCTTTTTTGGGTTCCTTCAAGGGTTCCTTGAGGGATGTTTAGTTTAGGGGTTTAGGGTTTAGGGTCCCTAACGGTTCCTTCTGGGTTCCTTGAAGGGTTCCCTTAAGGGTTCCTTTGTTTTTATGGGGGGGGGTTTCTTTTGGGGTTCCTTTTTGGGTTCCTTTTGAGTTCCTTTAAGGGTTCGTTGAAGGGTTCCTTCTAGGGATCTACTGTGGCACATACTTGAAAGGATCCATGTACCCACGTAGTGTATACTTAGGCTCGGGAGTTCTCATATAGGGACTGCTTTGATGCAACTATATGTATATACATATGTGTATGTATACATATAATATGAGTACGAGGACCCTTCACGTTTTTGGTGAATAGCTATTTCTGTTGGTGGGGAGGCTAGATATAGTCTAGGGTTTGGGGCTTCGTGTTTGTGGGTGTTTGATGATCTTTTACTTTTTGGTCTACCTCCAAGGTAGTTCGTTTAGAGCTTCAGTGATCCAGCGTTCCAGTGTCGCCTCAATCCTTGGGCCCTGGGGAAATGATGTCTCACGGCTTCGGATGTATGGGACAGGGATGTTACCTGGCGGTGGCATGAACAGCTTCCAGCCATCGTTTGTAATCACATACGCCTGTTACTTACAAGAACCCCACAAGGCCCAGTCCCCGCGCGGGTGATGGTTCCCCCACGTTTCAACCTATGGATAGCACCCAAAGGAGGTATACAAAGCCGCCGTAAATCATCCCCGAAAGCATCCTTTTGCACTATTATGCGGACCTTAAGATCCTTGAGTTCCAAGACTAGCATCTTCAGGTGGCAGCTGTTCAGGATAGCTGCCCGGCTACTAACGGTTCCTATCAGCCGATACCTCTTTCGCAGACTAAATTGGCCATCAGAGAAGCCCCACGTCTATCCACCCTGCATGCTCACACATGCCCTGATACAAATCGTATGCAAGGACCCTGCGCCGCAGACCCAACAACGAACGAGGAGCCCTAAATCGTGACCGCCGAAACCGGAAACTTATTATATGCCTACCGATAACACCAGAAAACAAGTCATGGCTGAAAGTTCAGCTGAGCTGCGCCAAAGAGTAGGTGCTGCTTCAGCTCCGGCGTTAGCCTGTCATTTTCCTAGGGGAAGAAGGAAGCAAGAGAATATCATGAAGCCTTTTGGGAGGCTTGCAATGTGCGTTCAAGGTCATGAGTGCTTAAAGGATCATGGGACTTAGTAACTAGGGTTGTAATTAAGGTAACTCTACTTACAACTACTTATAACCCCAATTAAAGTACCTATAACCTTACTTACTAAGTCCCATGATCCTCCAAGTAGACCCTAAATCCTAAACCCCATAGATCCCTGTAAGGAACCCCTATAGATCCCTTTAAGGAGCCCTTTCAAGGAACCAGAACTAAGTCCCATGATCCTCCAAGTGGGGTCCGAGGGTGCCCCTAATGCATCATGATGACTGCCATTCGGGGGTATCGGTATGTATGTCTTGAGGAGTATAACTGACAAGATGAACTGTAGGATTCTACTAAAACACCAGAGCCGGAAACAGACACATACATTTGTATGTACGTATATATGTATATAATCAAATAAAAACCCCAAAGTCTCGGAGGTGTTCAATCTCGGAAGAAGGAGCCTCAGCCCTGTCAGCCCGAAACCTGGCCTGTACTCCGCAGGGAACATCACATCGACGGGCGCCATCAGGGCGGGGTCGATGAGGGCGCTGGCCCAAAAGACGAAAGCTACCTTGGAGAACTTGCAGCTTCCTAACCCATTCATATGGGTGGTTGTCAAAAAAATAGGTCCCTTTTTGGGTCCCTAAAATAGTACGGCACCTCTTATTTAAAAGGGTACCCAAAAAGGGACCCTAATTTTGACAACCACCAATATAATGTAGGCAGTTTTGTGTGTGTGTGTGTGTGTGTGTTTATTTTATTTTTTTCTTTTTTTTTTTTTGGGGGGGGGCTTCCTTTTTCCAGCAAATCCACTGCATCTTCGCTGAAAGGCCAACAGCAGCCAGCAGGTAAGGCAGGCAGGGTTTAGGGATGAGGGGTATATATGGTCAGGCGTCTGGCGTTCCCAGCCCCCCCCCCCCCCCCCCCCCCCCCCAATGGTATGGTCTGCTAGGGTGGGGGGGGGGGGGGGGCGTGTGCGGACAGGGGTCGGAGCCGTTGGAGCTGTCACTGGATGGTGGGATGGTGCTGGCGGCCAGGGCTCACACGCAAGCCCTTCGCAAGCAAGCCGTAAACCCTATAACGCAGCGCGTGCCCTTGTTTTGAGTAACCTTAAGTTGTACTTCCAACCCTACACCCAACCCTAAACCCCACCTAACTGCAGGCTCTAAGCCTAAAGCAGAACATACACCGCAAGTCCTCCCTAAGCCCTTGTCGACTCGAAGCGTTATACCTTGTAACCGTAAACCCAACACTCAAAAGCTTAAGCTAAACCCTAAACCCCAAAACCCCACAACCACCCCACAGGGGGAAGAGGGACCCCACACCCCACACCACAGGGGAGGGGGGGTCCCACCCTATATCCGGACCATTGACCTTTGGGGGGGGAGGGGGGGGGGGGCCGCGGAGCGCGTGACCATAGCAGACCATACCATTGGGGGGGGGGGGGGGGGGCGGGGAACGCCAGACGCCTGACCATATATTGCCAGGTTGTGGGTCAAGGTCAAGTTGAGCATCGCTTTTTGTCGATCGGCGACATGGCTTCGGGCTTTCGGCCATACGGAAATGACAATGAGGTTTCACAGGACCCGATGACTAGGTACTTAGGTTCACGGGGTTAGCAGTAATGCAGGCTGTTACTTGAACCCTTCCGGCAACACAGGCTGTTGCTTGAACCCTTCCGGCAAACCCTGCATCCCGTCAAGCCCAATGCCTGAAACGACCGGAGAAGAAGCTAACATGCGGCCTTGAGCTCGAGTGTAGCAGACATCCAACAGAGCACAGCCCTACAACCGAAGGAATGAATAGGCTCCGAAGAGTAAGAAGGCAATCTCCGACATCCCCCCATGGACACTTATAGGGACAGCTTGCCGACACCCCAGCCCCCGACCACAACAGTTCGCACATCAATAGCACCTTCTATCAACATCGCAGTCAGTCGCGATACAGTTTCACCACAGCAGCAACTCCGTGTTGGCCATAAACGACACGATGTGCTGCACGGAGTTACGGTTCTGGTTTTGGCTGGCAAACTATCACTCTGAATCCCAAAACATCCCTGGAAAGCCCCTGAGCCCCCCGGCAAACAAGGCCACCGAAACGGCAACCACAAAATACCTCAGGGCTGATTCGACATCTTTCTGTGATATTTAGTTTGTGCGCGAGTACAGCCAGAGAGCAGTAGAGAGAGAGAGAGAGAGAGAGAGAGAGAGAGACAGAGAGAGAGAGAGAGAGAGAGAGAGTGTGAGTGTGTCAGAGTGAGAGCCGGAGAGAGAACTAGTTAATAAACACAATGTAAACAAGATCGGATCGAGAAAAGACACAGAGACAGAAGAGATACAGCAGAGGGAGAGAGAGAGAGAGAGAGAGAGAGAGAGAGAGAGAGAAACAGAAGAGATAGAGAGAGAGAGAGAGAGATGCGGCGAGTGGCTGCCGTATCTAAGTATCAGTGTGGCAACGTTGATCTTTGTGCACCTTGGTTTGGGTCTAGGCATGTGTCTGCAAGGCTTTACGAAGGATTGTTACGATGGCTGCACAGACGCAAACAGAAACAAAACACCAACAGCGCAAGCCCTCATGAGAAGTGGACTAGAATTTGCTAGGTGTTGTATGCTGTAACTCGGAAGCACTGAGCTATAGAGCTTTATTGTAGTGAGTCAAGCCCTTAAACCAGGGTTTCGGGTTAAGCCCTATAAATCTATAAACCCTATTAAACTCTAACCACCCTAAGCCCTAAACCCCCTATAAATCCTAAACCCTAAACCCTAACCCTAAACCTTATAAACCCTCAACCCCCTATGGATCCTAAACCCTAAACTCTAAGCACCCGGAACTGGGAATCCCGGCAGCTCGAAGTAGGTGTTGCTAGTGTCGAGGGGTGCCTGGTGCAGCGATGAGGCTGTTGGTTGAGGCCGCTTTCCTAACCTCGAAACCCTGACCCTCTCTTGAAACGAACTTGGCAATGGAACGCTGCATGTTAGGAGCACCTAATCCAAACCCTAACCCTAAGCTCCAGCCTTTGAACACCAGAAAGCCCAAGCCCAGTATAAATCCGAATCAATACACCCCACAACCCAGAAAACCTGCACGCCGATGCCTGGGTTGTTCTTGGTGCCCCCTTGTGAAAGCAGTAACATCTCGGTCCTTCTTATGGCTTCTGGAGGACGAAACCCGAAACCGTAAACTATAGCCCCTCAATTAAGGGTTACACTATGCTCCCACAGATTATGTTCAAGAAGTCCGCCGAAACCCCACGGGCTTGAAGCAGCTCCGAGGGCGCCTGGAGTACTCCGTGATCCCGAAGAATTGCCCAGACCTCATCCAAGTGTGCTGCCCTAAAAGCCCGGCATCCTACATAGTGGGTTACCAGATTTTGGGTGCACACGGGATACAAGTTTTGGCCACCAAACTATACTACTTATACAGTAGGTGGGCTCAGACGCATTGTTTTGGGGCTTTTGGAGCCTCAAGCCGAACCATTATCATAAGGGCTTCGGGTTTAGGGCCTCACTGGTCCCGGGGTTTAGAACCCCTCCAACCCTGAACCATGAGCCCCCGCAGCCCACTCGAACAAACCGGTGAGGCCCATGCAAAACCCACATAATACTCTATCAAGTTGTTCTTCTTTAGCCTAGGGGGCCCTTGCCCTAAGGCCCTCAGCCTACCCTAGTCTAGCCCAAGCCCTGCCTAAGCCTACCTTCAGGCTAACCCAAAGCCGGCGCCTGGACTTGTCCCTGAGATTCTTGCTCCCAGTTTCGATTTTCTTGCTCTATTCGCAAGCGAGCAGCTTCTTGCCTTCTTTTGTGGAATTAGGGCTCAGGGCTAAGGGTTTCGGGTGTGGCGGTTGATGGTTTCTGGCTTGGCTCTGAAACCGAACCCAGGGACTTGGAGCTTTCACCAGATTTCGGAACCGTCGTCGCTCCAACTCTGCGGGTGACGCCGCACTTAATCGCTGACCGCTATGTAGAAGCAGAGACATCCCTGCAACCCTTAAAAATAAGAACAGGGTTCCTTTAAAGGGCATCTATACGGGCTACTATAAAGGATCTATAAGGGTACTATAACATATAGAACCCGTGGTCAAGAAGGTAAGAGCTGCAGGGAGTGAGCGTGAGAACTGCCATACGCTCAACGCGGTGAGGCCGGCATGGACGGGGAGGAGGCCTTGCAGCGTAGATCCAGTTTCCACAAATTCCAGTCTCCTGGTCGGTTAAGAGTTTAGGGTTTCTACTTCCTTTATGCGACCTTCCCGAAAAGCATCAAATCCGCAGCAAAGCACGCAACCCGAAGCCCACAAACCCACTAGCCCTAACGTGCACAACACCGGACTCACTAGACCCTATAAAGCCTTGGGAAAAAAACGTCTACAGCACGGAAACAAAAGCAAAACGCAGAACCCGCGAGCACCTGAACGTGAAAGGTCTCTAAACCTTTAAACTCAAAGGCACCCAGCCCCCGGAATCCTAGTCTTCAAACTCGCGATAGCCCCTAAACCCTTATAAAGGCCCCGGTAAGTTCCGAGCGAAGTAGCCACTCGTCAGTTCGTGAGAAACGATGGTGAGGTGCGCAAACTGACTGCAAAAGCCCAGCCTGGGCTGCGTCAGGGCTTCACGGGAAGTACCCAGAGAGCCCAATACCCCTTGATTAAGGGATATGGCTTAAATGATATAGAGCTTCATATGATGATTTGAGCTATATTCCTTAATTAAGCGGTACTGGGCTCTCTTGGTAGGAGTTTCGGGCGTTAGGGATTTAGGGTTTAGGAGCTTATGGCTTTAGGTAGAGAGTGGGGATTGAAGAGATTGGAGCTATAGGGGTTTTGGGTTCAAGGGTTCGGGGTTTAGGACTTTAGGGTTTTACAGGGGTCCATGTACCTATATATACCCTACATGAAAGATAGTAGACCTTTGTCCCTGAATATGTCGGAACCGCTCTAAGGCCACAGTATGCGTTGTGCAGTTGGATGATAGATGGAACCCTTTATCCCAAAGTAAACCCAAAGCTTGGAACCGAAGCCCAGACGGCCTGTCGCACCCATGCGGGGCTTAATCATAGAACAATTAATATTAGTAGACAAGGTGCACCCGCTTTGGGAGTGGAATGGCCACCTGGTGGCAAGACAACCAAGAGTGCGCTGTCACGTGGAGCATATAAGACACATAGATCGGTAATGAGATACAGGGTCCTTAGCACACACGTAGAATAGGGCTTGGGCAGATACTCGTATGGCTGCGTAAAAGGAGCGCTATCCAAAGACACGAAAACTGCAAACCCTTCGAACGGCTGCCAAGTCGGCCTTGTCCTCGACAAACTTGACTTTCTCAGGGTTCGACATGAAGAAAGACCTGACTCTGAAGAGCTAGGCCTTGTTTGGGTTCAAGGCGAGTTACGCTTCTAGGACTTGGGGTAAGCAAGACTTTTGGGGTTCAAAACGAGTTATCTCAAGTGCGGAATTCTAAGGATCCGCGCATCAGGGCTCATTCTAGAGCTAAGGGTTTCGAGTTTACAGATCAGGGCAACTGAAGACAAGATCCATTTCGCAAGCTTCGACTCACGCACATCCGCCCGAATCCGAAATCACGCGGCCACATCCCAACCGCTGAGCCCTAGAGCCAACGACTGCAGACTCGTGTCTTTAGAAAGGCCGCTAGTATCGGCGAGGGGCAGGGACATACCTGTGACATACCTTGTGTTGTCACTTCGACAGTCCTTCTGCATAGCGCATACCTATAGATATATATACACATACAGAGAGAGAGAGAGAGAGAGAGAGAGAGAGAGAGAGATAGAGAGCGAGAGAGAGATCCGCATGTACCCAAACGATATGTAATTTTGGCCCAATGTACCTGTATAGGGAATACTTTAAGGCCAAAGTATATAGTATTTGGGCATATGGACCCTTAGGGAACTAGAAGAGCCCTCACCTCAAGGCTCTGTGGCTGTCTGGTGCTTAGTAGGGAATGGGGGATTGGATCGCTATAGTAGTCCCTACGTAACCCCCACTAATTGTCCCCATAGCCCATTCCCCCATTCTCTACTTGGAGGTTCATGGGTAGTTCCAAGTGGGATTGTAAGTCCCCCAATATAGGTCACTACCGCAATTATCCTACCTATAAACCTATTTATAACTACCCATGAACCTCCAAGTACTAAGCACCAGGGAGACTGTCATGTCGGCCGTTTGTTGAGGTCGACAGGTGGCAGCTGCGTAGCATTCCCCTAAACCCTTCTTTCATCCTGCAGAAGCTACATTTTTGAGGACTTATATAAGGAAATCATTATAGGGAGCCCTAAAAATGTCGGTTATTCAGGGTTAAGGTAAACCCTATAAACCAAAAGGACACTGCTCTCCTGAGGAGTGCTGGAGCACAGGTGGCCATTTTGGCGATGACGTGTAATCCATACTTGCAGACCGGCCGCAACACACCAAAAGGCGCGGTCAGCACCCCGCCGATCCAGTGGAATGTCGCCAGAGAAAGAAACGCCATGGCTCCGGCTGTGTGGGCGATAAGATTTGTTGGTCAAAGGGTCAAGGGTTGCAATGAGGGTTAATTACCCTAGGTCTAGGAGATTTCAGGTCGTCATTCTGTACTGGTGGCCGTTCTTCTCAACGGGGTGGATTCCATGTGCTTCCCTCCCGACGGTGCGACCATTTCCAGAGGCACAAGTAGGTTTGAAAGTTTAGGGCTTTAGGAGTTGGGCATTGAGTGGCTCTAATTCGGGATAGGGTCGTAGCAGGTCTAAAGCACCGCAAGGATGTAGGTGACAGTGTCAGGATTTAGGGCTTGCTAAAGATACTTCCAAAGAGCAGCATTTAGTCATAGTACCTTGTGAGACAACTTCCACGTTCACAAGGTTCTGAGGGGCTGTGATGACCCTTATCTGCAACAACAACTACGCTCAACTACGCTTGTCATAAGAACGATATCTGATAAACCGTATCCCTGGCAGCTTGTTGACTATTATCGACGCCATGGCTTCCTGTAAGCATGGAAGACAGACAGGGCCCCGAGATTTGCAGCTACATGCAACCATGGGCATGGGGTTTCAGGCTTCAGACTTGACTTAGGGTTTGAGAATGTCTTGCTCAAGGTTTAAAGTCGATCGGAACAGGGACTGAAGACACAACGGGTATCCGTGCTTGACATATCTTCGAACCCCTACAACCCCAAACCGTCGTACACATTCTAATTCAGAGTCGAGCTGCTCCTAAAGGGTTTAGGGCTTATGGTTAAGGTAGTGTCCTCCCGCATGGCACCCACAGGGACTTTTTAATTTAAGTTCACATATAATTAGTATCAGTTGCCAAAATAACAGCCAAAGAAATGAGCGACGCCAATGTGGACCCTAAACATCAGGATCCTTAAAAGAAGAGCTCCCTAAGCTTGGCCGTAAACCAAGGATCCCCAAGTGTTTCTGGAAAGCCTGATATCCTTCACGTCCCGTACACACACTTGTAAGGCCCTTCTAAACGCACGTGAAGCCCTCACAAAACACCGTCTTGTAGGCCAAAAAACGACAGCAGAACTCGATCCCCCCCCCACCCAGTTTCTCGAAACAACTGTCTGAAGAATGGCCAGCATGGAGCCATCTAGTTGCTTGACGCCAGGTTCGGGATGTGTATGCATGAGTGAAAACTTGAACGGGTTCTGAAGGGCCTAGCAAAAAAAAACAACTAAACCAACACGACTGTTGAGGCTCTTGGGCTTTTAGAGGGGCTTTCAGACTTTCAGGGTTCAGGTTACTTCAAACCTCCCCTTGTAAGCCAAGCTCGCTGAACATCATATCGCATCATGACAAGACAGATTGCAGTACTCCTTAGCCGAATGGACCAGAAACCTGACCAAGCTCTCGTAGAACCTGCGCTAAGATCCGATCCCAATCTACGCTCAGAGCAATCCTTAGAACCTCAACAACAGGCTGCGACAAGCCTGAATTCAGCTCCGCCCTCAGCCCCCGGATTGTTTCAAGCCCTGGAAACCAAAACAACTTCACGAATTCAGGGACCTAGGTCTTTTTGGCCTCGAGCTGAAGACTGCCTCAACTTCTCCACATGAGCTCGGGCCAGCATTTTGAGATCAGACTTTCCGACCCAACCGCCGCCTCTCTAGCCGGGATTGACGACCTTTCTCAGTCTTAAAAGGCATTACATGGTCGTCTCTGCTTTGTGGGGTCATTCTGGACCGAAGGCTTTACCGCCGCCCTAGGATTATAGTGTGAACGAGGATTGAATGCACTACCTATAGTCTCCATTGTAGTTCCTTTTTGGGGTTACCTTTTAGGATCCCTAATATAGAATTGGTTAAACCAAAAAAAGGAACTACAATGGAGACTATAGGTATGCTCCATGGAGGAAGCCTGCTGCCGAGATACCACAAACCCTCGGGGAGCCTGAGCTTAAATTCCAAACCCCCAACTCCTAAACCAATCATAAGCCCTACCTTAACCCTGAAAGAACTTACCTTTTTAGGATTCCCTATTATGATTTCATTATATAAGTCCTCAAAAAAGTGAGTTTTTCAGGGTTAAGGTAAGCCCCAAACCCAGATTGCAAACCGCAAATGTGACACTATTGGAGGGACTGACGGGTTTCTTGCATTCTGGAAGCGGAATAGGGCCGAAAACTTCGGACAATGGCCAAGGAGAGGCCGTTGTCACTCACTTGATTTGGATCTTCACCTGCAGCTGTCGGACGAAGAAGAAGGTGATGATGGCACGATGGTGAAAAGATGAAAGAAGCGATGGTGATATCAATGGGTGATACTGATGGTGTACCGTGCTGAGGATACAGCAACTCAATGAAGCTGGCAAGAACATGAGCATTGCAATGATGCTGGCAATCATAGCCAACATGTTGGACTATCAATGCGATACAGTGCTGGCCAAAAGTAGCAGTGCGAGGGTCCTTTCCCTTCTTCCCAGCCCCCCCCCCCCATAGATACAAACGGCATACACAAAACCCGAACACCTGAACAATCTGCCCAAGGCAGCACAAATAAGGGCATGCCCAAACAACCTTGACATGGAGACTATCAAAATGCGGCTCTCACGCACACCGATTTGCCTAAAGGATCAACGTACATTGCGGGCGCAGGTGTAATATAGGGGCCTTCGTAGTTTGAAGCGGTTTGGTGTATACCATCCGCAAGCGAATAACGACTGCTGAGGAATAGAAAAACTGACTATTCCGATTCCTTGAACACAAGCGTCCACTCGGGTATCTGAGGGCTTCGCAAGAAGGCTGATCGCAAGCAGATCAACCCGCATGAGAATGCTTTAGAGAGCCCCTTGTCGGCATAGTGTACTCAAATATTTCTGCGGACCGTACGGGAATATGTTTACTAAATATTTCGAGCCATGTATTAAATACGCGCCTGTGGCCGCCATTCATGACCACTCCTCTCATCCAAACACGGTCCTATAAGACCTCATCCTAGGTCCTGTAAGCTCACAGCACAAGCCCTCCCGAAGCCCAAGAAACACTGCCACAGGCCTGGTTGGGAAGGTTCAGCTTCATGATCTTAGCTAAGGGCTGTTGGATGGTGCCAGGGTCAGCCCTTAACCCTAGATCCTGGACCTTGCAGAGTTTTGAAGTGCTTTATGGGCTGTGAATGGGTCTTCGAAGGCTGATTGCTTTGGGTTTTTGGCCCTCCGATTAGCTTCATGATCTTGGCTGCAAAGGATCAGAACGTCCATGCTTTGATGTAAGGCTTCAGAATGTGCTTTTTTCGGCTTAGTGCTTTTATGACACAGATTGAAACGCTGTCAGCTGCAGTGTATATAATGGCGGTCATGATTCAATCCACCACTAGGCTAGCACAGTGTGTCAAGCGGTCAAGATCTGGGAAGAAAAGTGCCAGGCTGTTGATTCATAATAGCTGGCATCCAAGCAGTCGACTAGGCAACCGTCGCCACCAGGGGTATCCCAGACAAACGGCCAACCCACGTTTCAGCACCATCTTGCTCCTCCTGATCATTTTCGGCTGCCGATCACGAGGATAGCGGTCCCAGACACCAGGCTCAAAACTGCACATTCAAAGATCATGAAACCCCCGAAACCCTGAACTCCAAACCCCAACGTGGCAAGTTTGACTTAAGGCAGCACTTGCCTGGTATCCTTGGAGCCCCAACCCTAAACCCCAATCCCGCAGTCCATACCAATACACTCGTCATCCCCCTCTGCAGAAAGGAACACATGTCCATGTGTATGCTTGTCGTCACTCCCTCTCACTCCATATCTTTCTACCAACCTATCTACATATAAGTATGTGTGTATGTATAGGTATATAGATACACATGTATCACATATACACATGCACGAGCTGTGTATACATATGTATATATATATATATATATATATATATGTGTAAACACATGTATGTGTATGTGTATGTGTATGTATATGTATGTGTATATGTATATGTATATGTATATGTATGTGTGTGTATATATATATATATATATACATAGATGTGTGAATTACATACTTACGCCCCAACCTTCTGAAGATCCGCTTTGCTTGCCCCGGGGCCGACTCGAGACCGCCCTCCTTGGGTGGGTAGAAGTCGAGGCGCCTTGTGCTGGGCAACGTAGTTTTGGGGTTTCGGGTTTAGGGTACATGTATACTTATACCTACCTATCTATATATCCATACGTCTATATCTATATCTAGATCTACATCTATGTCTGTACATATATATACATATACACACACACAAATTTCTCTCGCTCTCTCGGGATTTGGGAGCTTGAGGGTCAGCCAGACCACCATTGCCAACCTTGGGTCTCTCGTTCGGGATCTAGGGCTGGGGTAGACATCGCTCCTTGTAGAACAGGGTTTAAGAGTTTCAAGATCCCAGGTTAACGCTTGACTGTTTAAAGGCCTAGGTTTAGGAGTAACTGGGGCGCAGACCAGTTGTACTCCACGATGCTCCACTTGTACTTGGACTTCTTGTGTCCCTTCGGGCCCTTGTTGAGGTACCTGTCCGCGATGTGCATCAGAAGGTGTGAGCGCAATACGGGCGTCTTAATCGGGTTTGGGATGTTTTGGGTCTATGGTGCACCATCAGTGTATAGGTTATATTGGGACTATAACGAAAATTACATAATTATATTTTGCTGGCCCCGATATGAGGCCCTTCATGAAGATGTGCTAAGAATGCACGAGGCCTGGTGTTGCAAATGTTGGCAACTTGCATTGGACAGGTTGACAGGTGCCTTCGAAATAATACCATAGTTATACCGAGGCGCAGAGCGGACATACAGGGGTGGAAAGCGGAATAATACGAACATATCACAGGTTAGAGACACTGCCCAAACCTTGCGAACCCAAACTTTAAGCATTCGCCGCAGCAGCTGAAGGGTTTGGGGTTGACTCTGTGAAGTTGCTTTGTTGGCTTGCGGTTCAGCTTCTTGCTGAGGTTACAGCTGGTTAACCCAGAGGGTCCAGGTACTCCCTATTATAAAACATATGGGACATTCAGGTGTT